TAGGATTACAGGAACTGGGGGAAATGCAGAAGTGAGGCCGTATTTGCCACCAAACTGGTTTGGCTCCTGGTTTATTTGCTGCTTTCCCACTTCCCAGGGCCGGTGGAAGTGACTTTCCTTCACGCCGATGTTCTCCAGGGTTTGTCCACGGGCAGAGCTGTGACACTTACATGGCACTGATGGGGGCAACAGGAGTTACCAGGCTCACCTTAAACTTTACATCATCAAGTGCTCAGATTCAGTCCTGCCCTGCCCTGGACAGTTTATTACAGGGGGGATTTCTTGTTACTCTGGGTTAAGGTTCTGGGTCCCAAATGCTGCCTGCACCCAGCTCTGAGGCAGAAAACAGCGAGGCTCAGCAGCTTGGGGAAGGGATATCTTGGACAACCAGCATCATTCACATGCTCTCACATTTCCCTGGCCTCTTACTGAGCTCTTTTCCTTTCTTCTGAAGTGGGGCTTGGTCAGAAGTGCTGGTATCAGGTTTTGTTGCACGTGGATGAGCTGGGACACGGCTGCATTGCCCACCCCAGGACAAGACCTGCAGAGCTCATGGCCCTCCACCACGGAGGGTCAGATTTGTGCTTCCCCCTGCACAGCTGCTCTGCTCCCAGTTTCCACACAGGACTTAGTCTTCCCAACCTGATCATCCCTCTCTTGAGGTCTCTCCCTTGGGTCTTCTCCCCGGAGCGACCCAACAAGCTGATCCCCCACCAGATGACACTTGGATGAGGGTCAGCCTGGGGGGCTGTGTCAGGACACAAGGTTGCTCCCCCCCCTCGGAGGCCCCCCCGGGTGCTGGAGGACACCCACGCACGGCAGCTTGTCCAAGCACACAGCAGAGCCAGGGATGTGCTCGTGCTGAGCAGAGCCAAGAGAGGCAGGATGGTGTTACTTCAGGACACGGCGCTGGCCTCCTCTGCTCCCTGCAAAGGGTGGAATGGGTTTTTTGCCTTTTTCTCCCCTTTTTCCATCCTGGTTGTTTGGAAGTGCAGGGCAGAGCTGATCCTCACCCCTCTGCATGGAGCAGCAGAACAGTGAGGACGAGGACTGGGGTCTCATGCTGAGGTTTGGACTGAGTGTCCCCCGAGTGTGGGGTGTCTCTGGCTGTCTGTTCATCCCTGTGTGTTTATTATGGTGGGATCTAAGCTCCTGTCTGCTCCAGTGCTGGGTACCAGACAGGAGCAATCCTGCCAGCACTGGTGTCTGTGCTGCCAGTTGTCATTTCCTACCCAGTTTGGCTATTTTGTTTAAATCTCCAGCTCCTGGAGTCAGGTGAATAAGGGCAATTCCCAAATTCCATGTTAAATAGAGAGCTGTGGTGCTTCTGGCTGCAGAGGAAGCAGGTCCCAGATCTGCTGGGGGATGCAGGCAGCACTAGGGCAGAACAAGTTGTGGACTACAGCTCTTTGCAGGTCAGGCACAGACTCCTTGTGCAGGTATAACTTCAGTGGGACCAGCATTCCCTTATTTTAGTGCTTGCCACGACAGTGTTTCCAGATAGGCTTTGGAGTGACTGTGTCACCTTGGGGATGGGAGTAGGGGTGGGATGGGGTGGGATGGGATGGGGTGGGATAGGTAGAAGCCCCATTCAGTTAAGGGTCTGTCCTAAAGATTGTGGTTAATACCTGTAAATCCTAGAAGTTGGCTTAACTGGGTGCTTAAGGGTCTCTTAAAAAAACCTTGGAGCTGTGTCCTTTTCTATCCCCAGGTCTCCTCCTACAGCTTCAGCAGGCAGGGTCAGGCCAGTCCACATGATCCAGCCGTGCTTGGAGCACTCCAGCACCTGGACCTGGAGCTCAGCATTTCGGAGCCGTGGTTTAGCCGGGTATTAGCTGGAGCCTTCGGACGGGCTGAGCTCAGCCCCCCCAGCTGCTCCAGAGCCTTCCTCCCACGCAGCCCTCCCCAGAGGCACTGGATGCACAGAGCTCTCTGCAGGAGCCAGGCACAGCTGTGAGCAGCCTCTCCCTGCACTGGGCATCCTCGGTGGTCCAGGGGCCGTGTTCAAGATGCTGGGGGGGTGACTTCGGATGATTTCTCATCCCACCCCTTTTCCCCCTCTGCATTATCAAGTCCCATTCTCTGTTGCTCATGAGAAGCTTCCCCTGGCCCCCTCCAGCCCCTGGGGGGAGCAGAAGCTGATGCAGACCCGGCCCTTAGTGAAGATTTCAACCTCAAAGCCACGACCTCAGCCATGGCAGGGTCTTGAAGGACCTGCAGGCAAAAGCAAGCATGTGGCACAGGATTGTGACCAAAAGCAAACAGCTCATGCAGGAGCAGCCTGTAGCAACCGTACAGTGCCTTTGGTTTGTTGCAGCACAGCCTGTCCTTTGCACTCCGGGAAGGTAAAGCCAGGGAAGGGGGAAGTCTTGCTTCCAAGCCTTGTGTGCCCACACCAGCACAGTGGCTCCCAGTAACCCCAAGGGCCACCATCCCTTGCCACCCCACAACACTGGGGACCGTGTTCCTACAGCAAAAGGCTCCTGGGCTGGCAGCAAATAGCCTGTGTGGAGTTAAAATGCTCCTGAAGCCGCTGTCTGGCAGTGATGGAGGATGTGCTGGGGGTTGGATTCGGATGGGGTGGGGGACTGGGGGGGGTTCAGGCATCCTCGGTATCTGGAGGGCTCCTAATGTTACTGAGGGGCAAGGAAGGAGCCAAGTGAGTGTCTTCTGGGACTGCATCTCTCATGCCTGCGTTCCCAGTACCAGGGCTCCTGCATACCTCCTCCAAGACCACAGCAGAGCTGCAAAGCACTTCCTTTTACCAGGATATTTATTGCTAAATATATGAATCTGGGAGCCTGTGGAGCGTGAAATTAGGAACAAATGTAAAAGGGAGGTCTAGACAGGAATTGTTCAGCTTATGGGCCTCTGCATGCTCTGCTTTCCTCCCCCTTTGCATGCTGGAGGGTTTAATGCTTCCAGGTACGCAGCTTTAATCAGAGAAGTATGTCTTGGGAGGAAAAAAAGGGTGAAATGCAAATGGTCTTGTTCTGGAGGGAGCAGTGGCTGTGATGCCACGTCTGGCTGGGCACGACTGGGCAAGAACCATGAAAATTGGCTCTGTGTAACCCTCACTTGTGCCCCCGGTGTTTAATTAATGGGTGGGAAAGCCGTGGAGCACTCCCTGGCAGAGCCCTGCCTGCCACCTCCCATAGTGGGCTGGCAAGGAGATGATGATCCCTCTGATGGGTGCAGTGCCAGTCCCTGAGAGGCTGCAGGGCTGAGTCTGCACCCCAAAGTCAGGTCCTGTGCCAACCCTGCACACCCTGCCCTTGGCTCCAGGACAGCAGGGGGATTGCAAATGGGAGCAGCAAAGGACCCAGAGATGGGCATTTCTAGCCAGTACCCGCTGCAGCCCAAGGAACCAGAGTTTCTAAATCACTAATGTGCTGTTTCCAGACCTTTCCCATGGCTGTGTTGCTCCTCCTGAGCCTCCTCAGAGCATTTTGCCCAAGGAATGAGGGCAGGCTTTGGCCTGGCACTTGCCCTGTGGCCACTCGGTGTGAGAAGCCCTTCAGCCTTCGGTATAAATTCCCTTCCCTCCTCCCTCCTCCCTTCCCTCCTCCTCGGCAGCAACATAAAACGTGACACTGCTTTATCCATTCAGCACTCACCCAACTTTAGCAGGACATTAAGCGCCTGAAAATATGGCACGGATTTATTTTCTTTGGAAGCAGGTTAAATCCCTGACAGATACAGTTGCTTTTCCTCGGGTGCTGAAGTAATTTGGGGCTGGGGTGGCTGGTTTTTTGGTTTAACCTGATAGCATGAACTGGAGGCCAGCTTTGCTAAAGCACTTGAAGAGTAGGTGGTCAGGGTTTGATTTCTCTCTTAATTTATGCCTCTTCTCCTGTTCCCAGCCCAACACTTGCAGCACTAAAGGGCTGCTGGAGCTTTAGCCGTGCCAGTGTTAGTGCCGCTGTCTCCAGAGCCCCTGGCAGGTGTGAGCAGGCAGGTACACGTCTCCCCAGCATCCTTCCTGTGGCAAAGAGCTGTGTCTTATCCTGCATGGGATGGAGAGGAATTCAAGCCCTCCCATGAGCTCTCAGGGGAGGGATGCTCAGAGCAAGACCATGTTGGCGTTGTGGGGCTCGTGCTGCACGTGATGAACAACGTCCACCCTCTAAGTGAATCCAACAGTGCCAGGAGCAGGGATCTTCCACTGCTACCAGTGCTGCGTCAGCAGATTCCTCCCAGATTCCTCTAAGGGGCATTCCAGGCAGAGAAGGGTGCTGGTGGTACCCCAAAGTGCATACACAGGACCAAGCTGAACCACAGCATCTCTACAATGGTCAGTGCGCTGTGTCCCAACCACAGCATTTGTGAGTGAACAGCTCACCCAGGGCTGTCAAAAACATCATCCTGGGGTGCCCCCAACAGCTCCCCAACACTGGCTTCATGAAGTGGAGGAGCTTGGTGTGCCTCAGACACATCCTGTTCCTAAGCTTGCTGCTCAGGGAGGGGAGCATGCCTGTCCCTGCAGTCATTAAGGGCTCACTTAGCAACTCCAGTCATTCCAAATTAAAATATCACATTGTTTTCATGGGGGAAATGGATTATAGGCTCAGAGAAAAATGTGTACAGCTCAGAAATCCTTATTGCAAAGCTCCTTCTCCCATCACCAAAACTCTCTGCCACCAGGCAGGAGCCGGGAGGGTGCCACGAGCCTGGGTCAGAAGGTTTTACTTCCCCTGGGTCCCCCCTCCTGTGTGCAGAAGAGCCCCATGTGACCCCAGAGCTGCTTCTCACTCAAACTCTCACCCACTTCATGAGGATTCTTTTCCCCCCTGCACATGCAAGGTGGCATTTAGGGGAGAAGGGGACTCCCTGATGACTTCCACAGGTGCCCAGTGCCAGGCTCTGGCCTTATCCTACCTGTCACCTCCCAACTCCTGGTTTCTATCCCCCTGCAGATGAGGGTGAGAGCAGGGTTTGGGGCTCTACAGCCCAGCCCATCACCAGCCTCACCCTATCACCCCGTGCACTTGCTTTTGCAGGCTGTTAATGGAGAAGAGGGCGGATGACAGCCGGGACCGTGGTCATCACAGGTGGAATATTAGCGACTGTCATTTTGCTATGTATCATCGCCGTCCTCTGCTACTGTAGGCTCCAGGTAAGGCTGGGGGATGCGACCCTAAAGGGTGCTGCAGCAGAGAGGGGAGTCCACTGGTCCTCAGGGCTGGCATGCATGGAACAGCCCCTCAGGGACAGGGCGGGGGGCTTGGAGTGCCAGCTGAGCCATCCCGTTTCAGTATTACTGCTGCAAGAAGGATGAATCCGAGGAGGACGAGGAGGAGCCCGACTTCGCCGTGCACTCCCACATCCCGCCGCTCCACTGCAACCGCAACGTAGTGCTGACCAACGGCCCGTCCCTCTACACCTCGTCCCCCTTCACCAAGAAGCCGACCCCGACCCGGTCCAGCTGCCCCGGCTGCGGCCCCTACGAGCCCCCCTATGAGCCCCCCACCTTCTTCCTTCAGGAGCCCCCCGAGGAGCTGCACAACGGGGGCGACCGGGTAAGCTACAAGACGGTGAGCCAGGAGGATCTGGCTCTGCCGGTGAGCGTGTCCAACCTGCAGGCTCTCAACCCCAACCGGCTCTCGGCCATGCGCGAGGCCTTCTCCCGCAGCCGCAGCATCAGCACCGACGTGTGAGGGGCCGGCGTGTGAGGGGCCAGCATCCCATCGTGCCTCCTCGCACCTGCCGGGGCTCTGAACGGCGAAGAGAACTCGGTGAAGTTCTGAAAAAGAAAAAAAGGAAAAGAAGTGAATGTATTTCTACCAGGGCTGAACGGCAGCGTGAAGGGGTAGTGAAGCACGCCCGAAAGGGGAGCGTGGGGGAGGATGGTTGCAGCTGGGACGTGAGGTTTTCTAGTGCTGCGTTGCATTTTTTTTTTTTCTTTTGTAAAGAGGATTTTGATACTTGGAGCATCCTTTTCTACGGAGTACCCACCCCTCCTCACCTGGAACGCTGAGGGACGGTGAGCAAATAGGGTTGGCTGCACAGGGTTGGCTGCAGAATGGCTCATGCTGCGAGTCAGCAGCCAGCTGCTGCCATGACGTGGTGGCCCTGATGTGCACACACATGTGTGCACACACACACACACCCACCCTAATAGGTTCTCAAGCAAAGCAGAGCTGCTATTGCCCACCCTTCTACCACCCCTTCCTGCAGTGCTCTGTACTGCAGCCATGGGAGTGTGCATGTGTGCGTGTGCACAGCCCTGCACTATTCCCAGGCCACCTCGCTCCTCAAGTCAGTCATTAATTCCCGAGTGACAGGCACAATCCCTTCAGGGCTGGGATGGCGGGTGCATGCACAGCCTATCCCTGCCCCTGGAGATCCTGGAGTGACCTCACAGTTCCCTGATGGAGGGTGCAAACCCATTGTGTTGCCTGGCTATGGGAATAACACACAGCACACTTTTGGATTGAGGAATACCTCTCTGAATAACCCATCCCTTCTCCGAGTAATGCCATAAACAACTTCTAACTGAGGCTCTGTGTCATCACGTATGTGCCCACCCCAAGCATGCACATTTTTACATGCATTTATTTGTCTTCTTTAATTTTTCTAAAAATCCATGATGCTTTTCACCCATCCAGAGATGTGTCAAAACACTTCAGATTTAGGCAAAACCTCCTCTTTAGCATTTTTCATTGAGCCCTTTCCCACGGCCGGGCAGCCTGGCTGTGGCACCAGCTCTGTCCCTGCTCCTCCAGCCACACTGGATCTGGTCAGGGCAGTGCTGGGAGAGCAGCAGGCACAGAGCTGGTCACTGAGAGTGTCCCTCTGCACCAAGCATGCTGTAAAGGAACCCTTTTAGTATTTCAGTGCTTTAGGAGAGGAATTGCACGTTGCAGCAGTGTCTAGAGGGGGACTCACGCTCCAGTCTCTCCTGGCTGTCTCCATTCCTCCCCTCAACCTCGCCATACTCCCAGTTTGTGTGACAAAAAGCACCCTGTTTCTCCTGGATTATACATTATTCAGGTTAAAAGCATCACGCTGGACCTGGGGGCGGCTGGCAGAGGACGGACTGGCTGCACAGAGACTCCAGTGGCCCCAGTGCTGTGCTCTGGGTCAGCTTTCCTTTTTCAAGATGTTACAGGAAGAAACAGCCGTGGCTCCAGCCCCATGGGCTCACAGACACTGTGCTGCAGCCCAGCTGGGTACTTTACTTTTAACCACGAGGGCTTTTAATTCCACAGGAAATCTTTTGAAGTACAAGTCAGTCTTTGCAAATGAGTATCTTCGACTTTCTCGGGGGGGTTCTGTTTGGGTTTGGGGGGGGAGGGGGCCAGGGTTGGTTTCGTACGTGTTTAATATTCTGGGCTCGGTCCCTGAGGTGCTGCATCCCGGGAGCACGATGCCTCTGCTCCGGAGGGATGCAGCCACTCGGGCCATGCTCCCATGTACAGTTCTCACCGGGGTTTGTTTCCACGCCTTGAGCCCTTTCTCTCCCCGTTTCTCGTGACCGTACTTCTCCTCCCAGCCTTCCTTCCTTTTTTCCCTTATTTCTTTCCCTTGTAGCTTGGAAACTAAGCGGACGGTTGGCTTTCACTAACCTTCACCTGGTGATCTGTTGTACAGGACTTTGGGGATCTCGGGGGAGGGAAAGTAAAAAAAGAAATAAAATAAAATTAAAAAAAAAAAAAAAAAAAAAAAAAAAAAAAAAAAAAGAAATAAACTACTTTGACATGGGTTTTGAGGCTTTTTTTTTTTTTTGTCCCTGCACCTGCAAACATGGGGTGGTGTTTGCAAAGCCCTCATGTGGACACAGGAGCTCCCTGCTGCTGAGGGGAACAATGCAGCAGCAGCTGGGGTGCACACCCCAGTGTGGGTGGTGAGCCTTTAGCCTGGCATTGGAGGGTCACACCTGGAGAAACACGGAGCAACAACCCCCTTGGGAGCACAGAAAGGCCCTTTTCTTACTGGCACCCTATCAAATCTCTTTGCTCAGAAACTTGTGAAGAGCTTCAGGGTTGCAGTTCCCAAAGCCACACACACACAATCCTAAAGCAACTCAAAGCAATGGTCCCCAAATCCCCCCACTGTTGGGACTTCTCCTTGCATCACTGTCCAAACAGCCATGATTCCCCTGAGTTCAAGCTGCTCTGCTTCCCCTGGGCACCAGCAAGTTCATAGCCCTGACTCCAGTGTTCTCAGTACCCCACTACAAACTGGAGAATAAAACAAAATACCACCATAAATATGACAACTTTATTAAAATATACATATGAGTACAAATTAATGATTATATGGATAAAGTTCACTGTCTGTAAACAAATATATTAAAAAAGAGCACGTCTTTTTTGTGATATAAAGTGCAGTTATGTTTCCATATTATATACAATATGTCAGCATCGGGGGGGGTGTAAGGACTATGGAACTAACATTTGATTATAAGATAAAATTCTCTGAAAAAGTATACACCTACATATTACAAAGAAGGGCTTGAGTTCATTTAGCAAATGAGAATCAGCTTCCCACCACATTAGATGCAGCTAACAAGAGTGTGCAGGTCTTGGGATAAATTAGGAGAGAGGCACTAATCCCCTTGGCGGAGGGAAATTTGCACTTCCCCGAGTTCACACCTTCCCCTCACCCACCCCAAACTTGCACAGAGGGAAGAAACCAAAGGACCAGACCTTGTGAAAAAACACATGGATGTACCTGCAGTTTGGGGGAATCAAATATACACGACTTTATGTACAGCTCTGATAGCGGGGACTCCCAACGGGCTCTGCGCTGAGTCGCGCCGGCACCGCCCCGGGAGAGGGACGAGGAGAGAAGTTGTGCATCAGTGGGGAAATAAAAAACAACCCAAACGCATCCTGATCACCAGTCTGTGGGATGTGTGGCTAAATGGAACACGGAGCCCTCGCTAAGGGAGGTGCTGCCGGCACTAGGAGTGGGGCGCGCGGCAGGAGCGGCAGCAGGCTTTGCTGTAGTACCAGTGGCTGCACAGGTTCACTTTGATGGCCAAAGCACAGTTGGTTCCTGCCTGGTCCTGGCAGCTGTCGTCTGGGGGAGAGAGCACAAAAGGCATGATGAGGAAAAGAAATGAAAAATAAGCCATTGCAAGCTCATGAGCTCATTTTTCCCCCTGCACAGCTGCCCTGAACACCACGGGCTGAGCGACACATCATCCCTGGCTGCAACTGCCACCTCCCTGATACCTTCCAGCATCCCCCAGAAAACACCATGGAGCTTCTCAACCTGAGCAAGAAGGCTGACCCATTCAATCACACCAGGCCTGGCTTGGGGAGCCTCATTTGGTCCCAGCCCTGAAGCTCAAGCTCTTTCCTGTGAAACAGAGCTGCCCAGGGATTGCTGGAGCCACCGAGGGAGCCTGGCACTGAGCTGCCCCCAAGCCAAGGGCCTCCCCTGGTAGGGCACAGGGTGACTCCAACATATTCACAATTTCTGCCCCAAGGAGGCAATTTGAAAAAGGGAATCCAGCAGTGCCACAGCCAGAGTTAAGGGCAAGTGAGATGCTGGGGACAGGAAAGAGGCCAGAGGCTGCTTCAATACTCTTCCAGCTCCTTTCAGAGCAATATTTTGCTTCAAACCCACAGGATTTCCACTTTCATATATATTTATATATTTTTTTCTTAAAATCCATAGGATGCATGAAACCAGGCTGGTCACCAGGCTGGCCACAAGACACCTCACAAGCTCCATGCCCCATCCTGATCCCAAGGGAGAGGGCAGCTGAGAGCACCCAGCAAGGCCAGACCTGAGCCAGGAGCCGGCCCCAAATCTGTCTCCCATTTTCATGCTTTTCTCCCACATCGTCCTTATTCCCAAATCCTATTAAAGGATTAGAACCACATGTTTGCTAAAGATCACAGGGACTTTGAGCCAGCAGACGAGTCAGATAACGAGATAGTTACAGATCCCACAGGACATTCGGAGACCAAAAATCATTAAAATAATGGCACAGATGAAACTTCCTAGGCTTAAGCTGGAATCACATAGAAACAGCACCCGAGTCAGCTCTCAAAGATCCATTTTATCTTTAGGTAAGGACATGCTTCTTCTGAACTCTCTCCTTAATTTAATGGGGCTACCTCCAGAAATAGCCAGTGCACCCCATTACTTGGGCACAGAGGGAGAGTCGCCCCCATATATCCTCTCTGGGATGATTATCCAACTGGGGGCAGTGGAAGCTAAGATGCTGGCAGTGCTGCTTGGGGGGATCCATGGAAAATCAAGGCCACAGGGTGCTGCCAGCAGTGGGGCTCACCTGGGGGCTCTGTGGGGCAGGGCTGCAGGTCACAGGTCTGTTTGCCCACCGGCTTCACCAGCGGGTCGCAGCCCCGGACGATGTCCTTCCCTTGGTAGCACTTCACATCCCGCATCCTTACACCAATTCCACAGGTTTTTGTGCACTGGGGAACAGAGAGAGGGTAAGGCAAGACCCTGCCATCACAGGGGATTGTGCTGAGCCAGAATCTACTTTAAAAAATGTGCTTGCTGGAGGTGTTAAGGCAGGAGGAGAACTCTTCCCCTGGCTGAATGCCTTGTCTCAGCACCACAACACTGGCCCCTTACTCCATCTTTGCTGCCAACACCATGAGCTTCTGCCCAGGGAGAGATAGATGTGGCCCCATCTCTGGCACTGACATCTTCCCTCCTCCTGCTGCCCCTTCACAAGGGGCCACGAATGAGTTGGCCCAGTCCATACACTGCTCTGTAGGACCGGGGTGGCTGCAGCCAACTCAAGGCCATGGGACCCCCACAGCACCCCGGGAGTGGGGCTGCAGAGTCAATACCTCTGCACATCCCACCGTGGGTTTGTGGAGCCACTGCTGGGCCCGGCACTCGCTGCCTGCTGCCCTTTGGATGCCTCTTCAGGCTGGGATTACAGCAGGGCTGCTTTGGCTAATTATAGGCTGTGATGATGGTTTGCAAGACTAAACAAAACGAGGCGCCTGGAGCACGGCAGAGGAAGGCTGAGTTTGGGAGGGCTTGCAGGAAGCCCACGCTCTCTGGGCTGAGCCCCTTGGCCACCAAACCTCAGCTGCCTTTCAGACCGTGCAGGATGCTGGGGCAACCTGTGCATCCTCAATCCCTGCATCCCTAGGGCAGCCACCCCGTGAGCTCCGTGCACAGCCCCAGCCATGCTCCCAACAGCGGCACCAGGAAAAAAGAGGAGGAGAAATAAAGAAAAAAAATAAATCTACAGCTGACCCCAAGCACCTCCTCTCAATCCTGTTCTCCCTGAGCACAGTCAGTCCCAGTTGTACCACGGCAGGGCAGGCTCTCTGCTCCAGGCTGCCAGTGCAGCAAAAGCCCCTCTGGGTGCTCCTTCGGGGACCATGTCCTGCAGAGATTCACCCACCACCCTGGGGCATTCTGCAGGCAGTGTGACCTTTGGTACAAGGGGACAGGGCTTCACACCCCCAGGGCGAGCACATCTTGAAGGAAAAGCACTTCCCCATCTCCCTCCCATGGATCCTCCGGGCTCCCTCCCCGCTCACCTCCGACCAGGGGGTCGTGTACCACTTGAAGCACGGCCGCTCGAAGCACGTCGTCTCCTCCACGGGCTTCTTGGCCACGTCACAGTCAGCGGGGTTGCGGGTCTTGATCTTGCCGTTGACAATCTCCAGGCAGAGCACGATCCTCTTCTTCACACCCCGGCCACACGTCGTGTTGCACTGCAGGGGCACGAGTGGGGCCCGATGAGACCCGCACACCCCAGCCCGACCCCGCTGAGGGCACCCCCCCTCCATTGCCCCCCAAAACCAACCCCCTGCTGCAGAGGGGCTTCACTTACCCGCTCCCAGTCCTGTGCCAGCCAGTGCGAGGGGCAGTTCTTGTCCCCGCAGGGGTGGATGGCCAGTGGCTTGGTCTCCAGGTTGCACTGTGACTCGGGCACCACGCGCCCGTCGCTGGTTTTGCAGTACACGTGCCGGATCATCCTGCCCTGCCCGCAGCCACCGCTGCACTGAAACCACAGCGGGCATGGCGGGCGGTCAGGGGTGGGGAGGCAGCAGGGCTCCATCCCTGCCCCATCCCACAATGCAGACGGAGAGGCCCCCACCTCCCCAACCCCATCTTCCACAAACCATGGGGGGATTATTTGGGCTCAGCTTAAAATAGTCACAGGGAAGCTCAGCAGATCCTTCCCAGGCAGCCCCACCACAGCCAACACAGATTTAATCATTGCAGAATCCTAGAATGGTTTGGGTTGGGAGGGACCTTAAAGATCAACTCGTTCCACCCCCCTGCCATGGGCAGGGACGCTTTCCACTATCCCAGGTTGCTCCAAGCCCTGTCCAACCTGGGCTGGAACACTTCCAGGGATGGGGCAGCCACAGCTTCTCTGGGCAACCTGTGCCAGTGCCGTGGCCCCACCGTGTTGAGCAACACTCAGCATCTCTCAGGGCAGGCAGCAGGGGAAGCACCACAAGCAGGGAACCCCCGGGGTGGCTCCCAAAGAGGTCAAGGCAAAGGGGACCGAGGAAGTGGCTGCAAATATTCCACCCCCACTGCCAAGGGCCAGACAGGCTCTGCCCGGAGCAGCCAGCGCTCTCCGGCGCTTTCCCGGCTGCTCTTGCAGAGGCTCCTGGTGTTTCATAGCGCCGCTGCTGCCATGGAAACTACTTATTTTTAGCTGATGTGAATGTATCAAAACCTGGGTAAAAAAAAAGGGGAAAAGGAAGGGAAAAAAAAAAAAATGAAAAGGGGAAAAAGGGAAAAGAGAAAATAAAAAAAAAAAAAGGAAAAGGGATTTAAAAAAGGAAAAGGTTCATTTTTTGGGCATGGAGCATCAGCATTGCCAAGGAATGCTGTGCAGCAGACAGACAAAGGGATTTTGACACCCACTAAGGCCCTCAGCCAGGTCTCTCAGGGTTTAACCCCTTCTGCACCGCATCCCCTGCAAGGCAGGACCCTCAAGGAGGACCTAGGGAGAATCTATGGGATCCACTGGGGTGCTGGATCACCACCAGTGCAGTCAGGGTGACCCAGGGTGACAGTGCTGGCAGAGGTGACACCAAGACTGGGAAAGCCAAAGCGGTGGAATTGTTTGGAGGCTGGATCCGAGCACAGGCTGCCTGCGGGTCTGTAGGAGCTGGGAGCTACCAGGGAGGATAAACCCAACCCCAAAACTCCCAGTGCCAGAGACAAGCCAGCCTGCAATCTGTGATGGGCTGCGATGGCCACTCGGCCGGCCACTCCGGGGTCTCACCGGTCCCCAGTCGGAGACGGTCCACTGCCTGTCACAGGGTGGCCCCGTGCAGTTCTTCTCGGCCAGGGGCCGGGCGCTGGCGTCGCACAGCTTCTCCTCCTCCGAGCAGCGGATGTCCCGTGTCACCACGCTCCGCTCCCCGCACCGGGCTGAGCACTGCGGGAGGGGACAGGGGGGGACAGCATCAGCCGGGGCTCCCGAAGCGATGGGAGCTGGGAGTCGCTGGCTTCGCGTTTGTTTTTTTTTTTCCACACTTCAACATGAAACTCTAAAGGCACACGCTGAAAATGCACAAATTACTCTTCCCCAGAACCCCCTCGACAGCTCCAGCCGTCAGCTCAAGGTGCAGGAGGGCTGCATCCTGCCCGGGTGCTGTGCTCTCTGACAGGTGATGCCAGAGGGTGGGAACCCAAGGCTCCAGAAATGCCTGATCAGAGCTGAACAGTTTTAGCTGTCACTTAGAGACAGAGTGAGATCTCCCTCGCCTCCTTCCTGGGAACAGCCAGCTCCTCTTTGGAGAATGTTTTCCCCCCGAGCTGCACAACTGAGATTTTTATGCTGCAGATAAATTTGGCACTGCACAGCCCAGTGACATTATTTAGAACTGGATTTGAGTTACTACAGTCTCTCACACACACATTTGCTCTGTGCATAACGTAAAGCAGGGAAAAGTGTCAACAGCACAGCGCTCAGACGCACCGCGCCGAGATGTTAATCCTCAGAGCCCTGAAATGTGCTTTTTTTTAATGCCTATTTCCCCAGCCAACTTGGCACCCCACCTCAGATGGGATCCAAAGGAGATTAGCTTTGCTGCTGGCTAAGAACAATCTACTCCAGGACTGTCTCAAGCAATCTGTCCCTGACACATGCTGGAGGAGAATACAGATTTCTGTAAAAAAAAGCCACTCTGGTTTGCTACGCCGGACAAAACGCGCCAGCACGTGCACAGGGAGCTCCTCTCTACCTGGCTGGGAAAGTCAAAACATCCTGCACCACCAGGGAATGCACCAGCCTCTCCATCAGCTCCAGGGAAACTATGTACACCAGCTCGCAGAGGAACAGAGACATTGAAATTATGACTAAGACGCGTTTTGGGAGCTTCCCAGGAGGAAGAGTCATATTCCTCATGATGTAAACCATGGGGCAGGTTGGCACCCACGGACAGCTCGGCTCAGAGCTCAGTCTGCTCTTGCTTAAATAAGGTCTGTGCTTGATTTGGGAAGAGGCACCCTGAGGAAGCAGCACTGGTTTGGTTGTTTCCATGGGTTTATGTTTGTAAGGGTTGTGCTGGAACACTGTTGGTGCCTGGAAAGGAATTCAGGGCACAAACCCTTTCCACAAGTTTTCCCAAGAAAACCAGTGAGGTAGAACAGGAGCAGCACTGTGCCTTCCCAAACCATCTCAGCAGCTTTGGGGATCGGCTTAAGGCACAGCTAGGAGAAGGTTTCGTTCTCCATGTGCTGCAGAGAAATTGGAGGTGAGGAAGGGAAGTTTACAGGAATTTAATTCAGGTGTGAGGTGGAATCTCCTCCCTGGCACCTTGGGGTTGAAGAGGCTGCCAAGAAAGTCATGGTGGGAGGATCTGAGCTGTGGGCTCCTGCCCTACCTCAGGGTCTCAGCAGCCCACAATTGACAGATGGTAGTGACCTCCCCATCCTATATGGGAGCCAGATCTTCATTTTAGGGGAAAAAACCCCTGCTGCACGTTGGTCCACGTGCAGTGACAGCAGTGAGTGTCCGCACAGGCCAAGTGTCTGACGGCTGTGGGTGACTTTACACCGGGAAAGGAACAGAAAAGCGCAGGCACAGCTGCTGACCCTCAGCACTGCCAGGCCAGGGACCCACCTCAGACCACTCGGACATCTCCCACTGGGGCCCACAGGCCGGGTTCTTGCAGACCTTGCGCTCGTCCGGCCGGGTGATGTCGGCGGACTCGCAGAGGTCGCTGTACACGGAGCTGTCGAACCCCGGCGAGATCATCTTCCAGCAGCGGACGATGCGGAACTGGTATCCCTCCCCACAGGTGCGGGAGCACTCGCTCCAGCTGCTCGTCTCCCACCTGCAGAGGGAAGAGAGAGAGGGGCCGTCACGCCAGGCACGGGAGCATCCCATGGGAAAGCCCTGCCTGCCCTCGGCTGGAGGGAGGTGGCTGCGATAGGAGCAATCTGTAGTCAGGCTGCCAGCACACAAGAAGTTTTCCCAAGGGATGTGAGAGGTTTTCCTAGGGGATGGGAAGCATTGCCATATGGTGGTTTCACCCAGCAGACCCCAGCTCGTGCTTGGAGCTAAACACCAGCTTGTCAGGAGGAAGGGTGGCACAGCAGGGCCTGGCCCGGTGTCCTCAGTGACAAGTGAGCGTTTGTCACCACGGGCTGCAGCTTCCCCCACTGCGACCCCGGCTGTGCCAGCACATTTCTCCATCATGCTCTTTGCCCATGTTTGACCTCTCTCTTTTCTGCCTGCTCAGCTGAAGCACAGAGAGGACACAGCCATCCATCACCCTGCAAATCCCAGCAATAATGTCACACAAAGCTGCCTGAGCCGTGGTGGGACAGACATTCACATCCCACCATCACTCTAACTCTGCTAACCACATGTGACAGGCTGGAAGAGCTGGGATCTGCTCCAAGCACTGCCTGTCCCTTACTGTCCCCTGCCACCACTGTCCTGACAAGAGAGGAGTATCTTGTAAACCAAGGATAAAGACATAAAAAGTCAAGCTTTTTACAGTACAGCAACAGAATAGCAATTTTGAATTAAATAATGAGATAAAAATATAAAAATCTAAATGGATCAGAATTTCCAGCTCCTCTGGATGCAGGACTGCCCCGTGCAGCCTGCATGCCTCCCACTGCTGCCACTCTCCAAGCAGGAGAGCCCTGTCTCTGGCTGCCACAAGGCCTCACACCCCATGTGGGGCTCCAGGCACAACAAGCAGCCGCAGGGAGATGTCACACATTTAGAGGTGTCACTTAAATTCAGAAGGGAGATGAAACCAAGGTCTCCCCCATCCAGAGCTGTCAAAATTAACATTTTCTGTTGGAAAAGTGTTGCCAGCTCAAGCAGCCTCCCATCTGCCCAAGTGTTAGGGAATGTGCTGGCTGACCTGTTTGAATTCCCGGTGCTCCCCAGTTTACCCATCACCAAGCTGCAACCACTGGTAAATCACAGAGCAGCTCTTCTCCTCTACAGTGCAAACCCTTCCAGTGGAGCTGGAACAGTACAGCCATAAGGAAGACTTGCTTTATGAAAGACCAGTGGGAGAATCTAAGCATGAAAAGAGCCCTAATATTTGTGCTAAAAAATTACAGATTTATTGCAAATAGAGATTACAGTCCCCAGGGTGCCCACGGGGCAGGTGTGTTCCCAGCAGCAGCACTATTCACCTCCCCACACTTTTCGTGCCTCAGTTGCAGCCTGCCCTGACTCTCAGCCTTAACATGAGAGGTTCAAGGAGATCTTATACTCCATGTGTTTTCCTCCCCTGTCTTCCTTCACAATCACCCCTGCACTGGACACCTCAACAATCCCTGTGTTTGAGAGCCATGTCAGAAGACAACCTTCAAAAGGACTTCCAGCACAGGTTCCCCTCTGCACCAGCAAGCAAACCTCAGTGATGTTTAGCATGCTGGAGGAACCAGAGGGCTGGATTTGTGGCACAGTTTGAAAGCCTGGTCGTTCCACCCAATTCACTCAGATGTTCTCTGCACTCCAGCCAGGGTAGGGGTGGCCCTGCACTGCTCAAAGCTGGACTTGATGAGAGCCCCAGGTGCAAACTCTGCCAGGATTTATGGAAGTTTTAACCTGGCAGCTTGAGCTAAAGCACTCAGAGAAAGTCTTGCTGCATACCCAGCGCAGCTTGGGCAGATGGAACTGGGGGAGGAGGGATGGGGTTGTTACGGGGTGTCCCTGCTGCCCCCCACAAATCCACACCTACCCCCTCCCCCAAAGATATCCACAGCAGAGGAAGCCCTCTGGGCTGTTGAGGTGGTACCTTGGCTGGCACTCTCTCCCAGCACAGAACTCATGGATGGGCTCAGGACGGGTCATGGCATCACAGTACGTGTCATCCACTTCGATCCCATCATAGCGAACACACATCGCATATGTGGACATCACTCCTAGTTTCAAAGAGAATACACACACACAACAGGATGCTTGGTGATTTTGGACATCCAAACTCTTTTTTTTTTTTTTTTTCCCCTCTTTTTCTTTTTTTAGCTGCGTTTTTCCAAACTTCCTCCAGCAGCAAGCTGGACTTTCTGTCCCACGGGATGGATGCTGCCGGGAGGGGAGGACTGCAGTGGCCACCCAGCCAATATGAGCGGCGTGGTTGGGTTTGGCCAGCTCCAAAGCAGGCATGGCCACCCCTGCCAGGGCTTGCCACCAAAATCAATATATGACTAACACATTTTTATAGGAAATACTCAGGGCACCAAGTCTGCTTGGAAGCTCCCACCCTGCCTCGTGGGTGGAGGCGACAGAAAACGGTCCCCAACCCGCTCCATCCACCCTCTCTCTCTGTGCATTACACCCTGTTTGCACCCAGGTGCTCCCCAGGTGCATCCAGCACTCCAGGCCAAGGCAGGGCTCCTGGAGGCTTGGCAAGGAAGCACCTGCCCCTCCTGCTCCCCCTCTGAAAGCAGCGGCAGCCAGTGTCGTCAGACCGAGACCTTTTCCCCCGCAGCCTCCCGTGCCAGAGTAAATGTTGTGAAGTCCATTCTGGGACCTGGCTGGGGACCAGGAGGCTGCTCTGGCTATAGGTAACAAGAGTTGCAGCTCTCAGGAACATATGGTTTACATGAAACCAAAAAAAGATCTACAGCTCTTGACATGGCCTTGCTTCTCTGCGATATGTCATTAAGAAAAGGCAATGAGAAGGGAGAAATTTAAGTAAAACCTCTCTCGGCTTGCTGCGAAACAGAGCAGAGCAGGCTGGCCCAGTGAAGGGAGAAATTTGTTCAGAGGGGCTCAAAGAAGTCAAAAATATCCCAGAACATGTGAATGACAAGATCTTGGGGAGAGGGACGGCTTGCAAAGTTCCTGCTGTGAGCGTGAGTCTGTTGGACAAGAAAAAATGCTGAAAATATAAAGTTCTTGCATTTGCTCTTTTAAGAGAAGTCCCTTAGATTGTAAACTCCTCTCTCCCCCTTCTTTCCTTCTTTGTAATTCCAGAAGCACCACAGGATCTGGATTATTTCAGGGACAGTGCAGGCGAGTGCACAACCCACATGCCTGCTTCATCACAAGGGATGGGCAGGGGCCAGGACCCCCTAACCAAGGGGTGGAGGAGGAGAGAGATCAGGTGCCTTGAAGCTTTTCAGGGGGCAAAAAGGAGGAATTTATGCAAAAAGAGGACATTTATGCATAAAGAAGAGAGGCTCAGTTTTGATATCCCTGGCATCCATGTCGCTGTTCCAGATTTACACCCTCGCAGCCGAGATCAGGCTCCAGGGTAGAAGGAGTGGGAGAAACAAAACACAATCAAAAAGCCAAATGCCATTGTGTTTCCTGCCAGAGCTGAACAATCTTCAAAATTTCACTCTGCGGGGAAGTAGCTGAGCTTTTCAAACCCCTCGAAGCTGTTAAAAAAGGGGAGGAAGGGGAAAGAAAAAGGAGACTTGGCACAGGTTTGGGGATCCTGCTGAGCCCCAGCAGGGACACAAAGCCAAGGGAAGCAAAGGCAAAGTTCAGAGCTCCCCAAAGGGAGGGTGTTTTGCAGGAGGATGGACACGCTGGGCACCAAATCTTGGTCCTCAACACACCTGAGGGGTCAGTGGGCTTTGCATGTTCAGCCCCCAGCTCCTCTCCCCGCCTTTACACCCGGGCAGAGCAGATCTGGGGTTGTGCTAAACCAGCTCCAGAGATCACAGGATCCCCTACACATCACCAGATCCTTCCCATCCCTAACAGACATAAAAGTGACTCACACACCAGGTGATTTCAGCGGTTGTGCAGAATTTGGCTGCTTCATATAACTACCTGTGGTACATGTAGAGCTGCAGGGTTCATGGGAGGAAAGCTTCCACCTGTACATGTCAGCAGCACTCACACCTTGGCCCTTTCTTAACAACTTCAATCTGTTTCTAGCAAACAAAACAAAACAAAAAAAAAAAAGAAACAAAAAACAAAACAAACAAAAAAGGCATTTACAAGGCGAGCGGTGACAGGCCACGACAGACACACACATCTGGCTGCAGTTTGGTTGGGTTTGGGTTTGGGAGGGGATGTGCTTTGTTTGGCTTTGTTTGGGTTTGGTTTTTCTGATTTTTCGGGAGGTTTGTTTGTTTGAATCAATTTTTGTTTGTTTGTTTGTTTCACAACATACCTGTCCTGAGCCCCAAGTAGAATCCCCAGCCCGGTTAGAGGCAGAGCTTCCACTGTCTAGAAATAGAGAGAATGGGATAAAAATACCCACAAGTAGAAACAGTTCAGAATTTAACAAAAAAGTTTGCATTTTCTGCTCAAATACACCTGGCCCTCGGCATACAGTGACTAAAGGTGCAGTATCTCCTCCCCTGTGTCTCCAGGGTTGGGCAAACCAACTCGTGCTGCTCAATGCAGCAGAGATTTCGGCTGCTCCAATCTCCACAGCTCACTCCTTCCCAAAGCCAGCACATGGCACAGGAGTTTATGAGCCTGTTTCTCAAAGCCCACTTGCCTGCCCGCTGCTTTCGCCACTCTTTCTTTGCTTTGGCTCATTTTGGTTTGTTTTAGGTAGGTAATTTGCATCTCTCAGATCCACACTGTGCTCAAACACAGAATGCCATGGGGGAAAGGAGTAACAGAGTCAGCCTGGTGTACAAAAATGCATTTATCAAACCAAGAATAGCAGCTTTTCCCCGTTCAGTGCATCCTCCGGGCTGTGAGGGCGTAACACATCAGGGATACTGCACCTTTACAACAAAAGGCTTCGATTCTGTTCTCATACCTTTGTTCAAACCCTTGAAACAGCTACACTGGAATAGCATACAAGGTTGTATCCTGATATCCAGTTGTCTCTGGCCTGGCGAGATATGCAGCTTGTATGATTTCTAGGCAGCAGAAGCTCTGAAATTGCCTTATTTAGTTGTTTGTAAGAAGAAGTTCAGGTCCAGCCTATCAAATCAACCTTTAAAAGGACACTGTTGAGAATCCAGTCGTTTCCTTTCGGACCCACCCTCCTTCCACCGCCAGCACTGAGCCTCCAGAAGGATTAAAAACAACAACAATCTCATTTTCCCTGTTGATTTTGCCTCTGTCAGTTTGGCAAAGGGTCGCTTCCTGCGTTTGAAATGGAACTGAAATGAATGTGAGTTTTTTTTTTTTTGGTGGAAAAATAGCAACCTCGACTCACTATAAATAGTGTTTTATCTGCCACAGCAGCTCTGCCTGGGGACCCACACCAGACCCTGGTCCCTGCCACGTGCCACCAGCTGCCACCCAGCCAGGAGAGGGCTCACAAATGACACTTGTCAGTGAGATCCATTAAAACATAGCCAACACCTGCTTTTTGTGCTTTAATTTGCCTAGAAAACGGGGTATTACCTAGATGCTTCACTCTATACCCTGCTCTAAGGCACCAGTGTAACCACCAAGTTATCCTGTGACCCAGACTCCTCTCCCTTGAAAAGGAGAAATTCTTCAAAATAAGTTTTATCCTACATCTGAGGATAGAAAAATCTTTCAACAGTGTCCCTTTAACATATGTGATCCCAAAAAAGAGCTTCTATGCATAAGGAGGTCGCAGGGACAAGTTCTTTCCAGAGGAATCAGACATTTGGGCACAGGGCAGAGTTCAGCTCTGACCATTTCCAGCAAAGACAAAACTGTCCTTTTGTTCTCTTTTAAATGCAAACAGCAGCTCATTGTCCCATAAAACTGGGGAGATTTTTATTTTATTTTTTCTCTTTATTATGAGCTTTATAATGAAATCAATTATTTTCTTCCCTGCCTGTGCTTTTCATCTGCTTTTCAAGCAACAACAGCACCAAAAACTAGCACCAGTCCCTCATTCCTAGCTGAGGTCTGGGCTTCCCCTTTTCCCCAAACAGTCCCCATAGTAGAGGAATAATCCTGACAAATACACACAAACACCACAGATCAACATCCAGAGTCCCTGGGCTCACATTTCTCTGTTTAATTTCAGGGTTTTTTTCTAAACAAAAGGGTGGGTTCTCTTGCAGGATAAGCCCTGGCTGCACACCACAGCATGGGATGAAGGATGAAGGGTGCCTGGATCTGTCCCACACATCCTAGAACATTTTTAAACTGCTCCAGGAGAGGAGAAGCAGCATTGCATCCCTACCATGGCCCAAGAGCCACCCACCCATCCCCATCCCAGTGGGGCTTGTTCCTAGAGAGGGAACACCTCTCTGGGAGAGCTCCTGCAAGGTGCTCCTGTAACTGGGTAAATCCATCCACACTAAGACCTACAAGAGTACAGAAAGCAATAAACTCCCCCACCTCCAACCAACACTGTCCCACATGGACAGACTGGCTGCAAAAAGCTGATCTTCCCTTGCTTGTTCATTGACAGGGAATGAAAATGAGCAAAAAGGCACCATCCATCCCAAACTGAGCCTGGGATGGATTTGGGAGGTCTCAAGTCCAACCTCCTGCCCAGAACTAGGCTGACCCCAATAACAGACTGGTCCCACAGGGCCTTGCCCTTCTCCAAGGATGGGGATCCCTGACCCTGGCCCACACCAGGACAAAGAGGTTTTCCCTTGTCTCCAATCCCCATTCCCTCCAGCACAGTTTCTGGCTGTCCCTCCAGCTCCCTTCCTCCTGATGGGACAACTCCAGCCCCCAAAGCTCTTCCCATGCCTCGTGCTCCAGCCCCCTGCCCATGGTACACCAAACCCAGAGCCACATCCTGCTGTCACAACGGGCATCTTGTAACATTTCCACTCAAAACAGCCATTAAAGGAATCCTGAAGGTCCCAATATCAATCAATGAGCTGCTACTGCAGAGCTTGTGATATTCCTGTCCAAGCAGTGACTCCTGTGCTGCTTCTGCAGCTGTTGAGGCAACAAACCCAGGCTGCTCCTGCAGGACCTGCAGTGGAGCTCCTGGTGTCCTGCTCTGCCTCTCCAACACCTCCCAGGCAGGGCCGTGCCTGAGAGGTGCTGGAAGGACATTCCTGCCATCACATGGGAGGAGGATCATAGGTGGCAGTCAACAGGGTGGGTAAGAAGGGGCCAGGACCAACTTCTGCTGCATCAGAACTCGGAGGAAGGGGCTGGGGAATCGGAGCAGGATGTCAAGAGAAGGCAGAAGGGGCCATGGCTCTGACAACAAGCTGTGACAGGAGAGAGCAAGGCCTAAGCTGACAAACGTCAACATGGACTTACCAACATGCCCACTAAGGAGGACAATTAGCTTTCCTCTTGCTTAAACACTGTCTTGACTTTCTGCTCCCAAACCTCTGGTCCTTCCTTCCAAATTAACTCCCAACAGAAAACTTACATGTACATCATCCTACCCCCACTTACCTTCTGCTTCCAAAGCAGAGAGAAAACATGCAGTGGGGTCTGCATTCAGCAAAGGGCTATTATGAGTTGAAAACAACACTAAGCAGGAACTACTTTAATTAAAGACTCGTGTCCTACCTTGCTTTGTGGGTTCTGTTCCCTTGAGGGCTGCTCACGGTGACCGTGGTGTTTGAAAACGGTGTCTCTGCCGACGTGTTGGTGGCTTTGCCGTTGCTCAGCTCCAGGTAAGTGCTGTTGATGGAGTAGGTCACAACCCCATCAGTGTCCTCGTAGTCAACGTAGAGGCTGTCAATGTGTGACCCCACGGAGTTGATGGGGTCTCCCTGGGCAAAGATGCTGTTCATGGTCATGTTGAGCACCAGCTCCTTGGAGTCCGAGGCCTTGTCCAGCAGCTTGTCCGTGATGGCATTCTCCAAGAGGAACTCCCTGGAGGCGAACCTGGGGTCGAAGTCTCTGTCGTCATGGTCTGTCTGGTAAGTAGACCTGGTTACGTTTGAATCTAGATTGGAGCCAACAGGGGGGAAACAACAGTGACAACCACAAAATGCACTGAGCCTGGGAGGGGAAAGCAGCCCGGAGCAGCGGGGACACGCCTGAGCAGCCACCCAGGGGAAGAGAGGCAGGAGTTGGGTTCTTGGGGAGGGGGAATCTTGTGGGATTGTACCCCTTTGGGGAGGGTGTGCAGCTTTGTGGGTCTTATTCCCTCTGTGGTGTGGCCAGAGGAGAGCTCAGCACCCGCCAGCACTGCCCCAAGCAGTAGCAGAGGTCGGAAAGGAAGGTGCCCTCCTGGCCCCAGAGCACATGCAGCCATGCTGGGAAAGCACTCAAGGCAGTTTGGGGGTGGGATGCCAAAGGGACTCGAGTGGGAAGGAAGTTGCTGGGGGCTGGGGAGGGGTGGGTGTTGACAGAAAATGTTGTGACGGGGAGTTTTGAGTACCCAGGGCTCCCTCCTGTCCTCAGCATGAGGCAAAGCACAGCAGGGCATCAGCGGGGAGATTTTACCCACTGTCCACCCTCCAACCCCCACCAGAAACCAGAACCTGAAGGGCAAAGAGGATTTATGAGCAGAGATGTTTTAAAGAACTTTCCGAGGTTTCCGAAACACAAACCAACAGGATCACCAGAGGTAGAAACAGAGCGTTTCTCAACAAGAGCTCTGAGAAGCAGAACAGTGAGGCCCAAGTCTCCTCCTTACCTTGGGGTTGTTTGCCCTTCAGTTTTGGCTCACAGTCAATTGTTTCTGCTCTTTCATAGACCTCATTGGTTTCCTGACCTTTGCTCAAGTTTAAATCTTCCTCCGTGTCCTGCCTTCCAAACACCTGGTTCTCCAAGTCTATCCTTTCCGTGGAGATTTTCCCAAAGTAGGTTGCATTGTGCTGGATAAAACCCAATGGCACGTCCCCATCAAACTCCCTGCTCTCTTCACTATCTGACTCGGAGAAGGTGTAGTAGATGGGCTGCAGATTTTTTGAGTGTGGCTTCCTCAGGAGAGTGTATTCAAACGTGATGGACGGGTTCTTGCCATTTTGATTCCAGACCTAGCAAACAAATTAAGTTATTAGCAGTTGCAGTGAATGTATGGCACACAGAGCTTGTGATTCATTTTGGACTTGACAGTTGGTGAGCATCTACTTTGCTATTTCCAATCTGCTTTCCTTCACATTGCCAGCTTCTTCCAACTGGAGCCCACCACAGTTTTCCAAGGGTTATTTGGCATGGGGATTAGTCCCAGCTCAGGGACTGTGAGCCACAGATCACACCGAGTGACGAGAGACTTGGGAAAGCCACTTCAGAACTTACTGACCAAAAAGGCAAAGCCTTTTTTTTGGTGGCTTCATGAAGAGCACACACCCCCTCCAGCTACTATACCCACAGTGGGGCTGGGGACTCCCAGCTGAGGCACTACAACCTCTTGCTGGTCTAATGTTTTATAAGCACCCAGGCAACCATCGCTTCCCCTTCCAGAGGAGCCTGGGGCTACGTGGAAGATCTCAGGAGCTGGGCTCTGGCTGGCTGCCCAGGAGAAAATTAAGGGACTTTTCTCCAAATGCCTGGTTTTAGATGGTTTGCTTTCAGGAAAGAATTGGGATTTAAGTTTTATGCACTTGTCTAAGCTCTCTGGCCCAATTTCTTATTTTCACTTTTCCTGCCAGGTAACTTGGATACAAGTGCCAAGGAGTAGAAGAAAAATCTCCCTGCAGTGCCTGAGGCATCTTCTCCCTGCAGAGAGGAGTTACCAAGCCCACATTCATTATTCACAGCCCTGCCTGCACCCGAGAGCACCAATACAGATTAAGTAGGTTTGTGTAAGTAATTGGTCACTGCTCCCACTCCCCTCCTCAAGCTGCCCATGTGGCAGGACTCTGTTTCCATGGCCACCCATTCTTTGATCCAATGCAGGTTTTCTCTTCCCCATCACCCCCAGCCTTGAGAACCTGAAAAAAACCCCCAAAAATCAAAGCTCACCATTATGTTCAGCCCTTGATTTGTTGGTCCTTGGGCAACAATGTACTCGATGCCAGTCTCATACACGTCCATGGGCCGGCGGTACTTGAACACTGTGCCTGCAATGTTGAAGTTCTTTGGACTGTCAACTTTATAGTTCCCATTGAAGAAATAGTACCCAGCTTCATCAGCCACAGCTTCAAACGAGAGAGAAAAGTCAGGGCCACCACATGCAAGAGCAGAGGTGTGTGATACCACCCCTTGTTCATTCAGGGGATAAAATTAGAGTGTCACAGTCACAAAACAAGCAATTCTCCTACACTGCAATGCATTGGTCACTTATCTCCAACACAAATCACACGAGTATGTGCCCAGAGTTCTGGGCCATGTGTACATTGCAAGCCCCTGGGTATGTGGCTTTCACTTGCCCATGGCTACTCTCACCCTTTTGGCACCAGCACAGGGTGAACATTTAACAATCCCAGCCCTGCAGACAGAGCCTGTCAGATGGCCAAGGGTAGGAGCTGTCTCCTTGGGAGCCCTGAGCTGATGCCACCTGAGCCAGCAGTGGCCCAAATGGGTCACCCAGAGCTAGCCCAGGAACTGTTAACTAAATCAAGCCTTTTTCATTCATAGAATCATCCTAGAATAGTTTGGGTTGGAAGGGACCTTAAAGCTCATCTTGTTCCAATCCCCTGCCATGGGCAGGGACACCTTCCATTAGACCAGGTTGCTCAGAGTCACATCCAACCCAGCCTTGAACACTTCCAAGGGTGTGGCATCCACCTTCCTGCACATGGCACAAGCCTTTGAGGCAGCAGAGCATGACAGCAGCAAATGTGCCTCTCTTGAGCAAGTCCATATTTTTCCCACTGATGCCAAGCAGCTTTGCCACCTCCACCATGAGATGGATGGTGTGGCCACCAACAGTTCAGTGAGGCAACATGTAGATAACATCCTCTTGGTGCTGTTTTCATGGGGCCATTGCACATTCCCCATGTGGGAGAACATCGAGGGAATCACAAGAGAGGTGAAATCACTCGGCCATCTGTGATCCAGCACCAGAGTGTTTGTCACACCACACTGAAATCACAATAATATTGACCAACAGTTCCTGCATTAAAGCAATCAAAGTGTTGATAAACACGGCCCAGGTGCTCAGAGACTGCAGAGAAGAGCAACACACTGGCTTAGACAACACGGTTGGATTTGCATTGACTACAGATTTAGCTCATGTCTGCAATAAATGGACTCGATGATCCTTGTGGGTCCCTTCCAACTCAGGATATTCTAGGATGACAAAACTGCTTCCAGCCTCGCATTGGAAAAAGCATTATCCAGCATAGGCATGCATCCTAGGGAAGCACCAAGAGGTTATACACACCCAGAACATCTGCAGACTTTTTCCGTTCCACTATCTGGATATCCCTCGCTCCGGCGGGAATGTGCGTTACCAGAGAGTAGCCTACGGGAAACTACGGATTAATGAAAGGATCTTTGTAACACATAATCTGAATGAAACACTCCACAGTCCCTGCAACATAGTTAGCACTCTGGCCTGGGCCCAAAATTATTTTCAAGGAGTTATGGATTTAAAAAAGCCCCTAATGTTGGTAACTGTTGAGCTGAAAATATGATCTTGCCGGTAATAGGAAATTCATCCTGGTTTACAGGGGGAAAACGCATCCAAAGGGGGGAAAGGATGCAATCCTTACATGCACAGATATCATGTTTATCAAAACTGGTGTAAGAAAAAGCTATCTTCAAATATATTATCAGCTAGAGAAGCTGTCTCATGGTTCAGTATTGATCCCATTGTCAGCCAGTCTTCCTAAAACACCTGCAAGAAATTACAGCTGGTTTCTCCTCTGATTCCCCTTTGCTTAGCACTAGGCAAGAGATGGGATGGGACAAGTCCTCCTACAGCCACTGAGGTTCCTGCAGCTTGCTCCATCTCAAACTGATCCTCAGAGAGCATTAATCACAATTCCTGAGTTAGACTGCTATATTTAGGACAAGTAGGTTCTGCTGATTTTTGAAATCCTGGTGTTTCAAAATATCATAGCTTCCTGTTATTACAAATAATTTATTTCTAGTCTTACTGGGTCATGAGTGTCCTGGTTTTGGCTAAAATAGACACCACCCTCTTGCATAACCCTCTTGCACCAATCAAAACCAGAGACACCTCTGGTTTCTGACAACCCTCATGCAAAATTCCTGTTTGGTTGTTTGTTTGTTTTTTTTTAAACAAGGCTTTCCCTGCCCAAATTTACAAGTGGCATTAACACACACAGAACACGTGGGGAAAAAAAAAACAAACTGAAGCTGGGCAGTTGGTAAGGGTTGAAAGCCATTTACCAAAGAAATAAGTACATTTTAAAACCAGCCCTCTGACACAAATAAAGCCCACGGTCCCCAAGGCCTCACCAAGATGAGAATTTCCTTTCCGGTAACTGCCGGTTACGTGGGTGCAGCTGCTCCCATCTCCTTGGCAAACTCCACATTTATCCAAGGTGTGGGTGGAAAAGAGAATGCCATCACAGCCAATGGGCTAAAAAATGCACAAACAGAGCATTGAAGGGTCAGGCAAACGTTGCACCATCGCAATTTTCTGAATGCTACTAACAGTATTTTTGCTATAATGTTTAACAACCTCACATTTTCCAGACACGCAAACCCCTCGGAAATCAGTGTATTTGCAGGAGGTTCCATCCCGAGCCTGAACCATTAACTGTCTCTGGCCATCCACAGTGGTGCAATGAAGGTCACAGGGCTTGCTAGAAATGTGAACATAGTCATCTAAGGGGAAAGGATATAAAGAGATATTCAAAACCAGCAGAAACACAATAACTTTCATCCTACAGAAGTCAAGGAACCTCTGCCAAGCTAAACAACAGCAGCAACAGAACAACTGCAGAGCAGCCAACAGTTCAGAAGTTGCCACCTCTTGTGTTTCAGGCTAGACAGGAGATGGCACTTCTGACAGTGTAACAGCCCTCTGCTGCAAGGCTTTGCACAGCCTGGCAGACCTCTCTGCTGCCAGGAAGAGATGCCCAAGGGATGCCAGTGGCACCACCAGCAGCACTCCATACAGGAGTTAAATAAACAGATGTATTGTTAGAAAGACATAAGTAAGCCTATATTCAAACCCATGGCAACTTAAAACATTTTATACTATATAACTTTTCCATAAACATTCAACCCATGCTGGACTTAATTCGCCCTTTGCTTTCTGCAGACAAAACTGTCTGGCAGCATCCACCAGCACAGCAGTCCCACATTTTACAACATCCACAGGAAACAAATTACAAACTCATATTTGCATCAGAAAACATGATGCCAAGTGTTTATCTCCCCCAAATCCTGAGCAGTCGTGTACCCACTGGCCTGTGTGCCCCAGCAAGGCAGCACCATTGTCAAAACATTACTGTGCAAATCCCCCAGGAGCCACGTGAGCACCTGCTAAAACACAAAGCAATTCACTGCAACATCCCTGGTGAATCAGCCTGAGGAGCAAACATGTTTAGAGAAACTGTCACCTTGCCACAGCAAAGGGACAAAGCCACCAAGGAGCTGCAGCTCATGGGCCAAGTTCTACCCTGCTGACCCTCCCAGGGCTGGAGAGGGAAGGGCTTGTTACATGGTAAAGGAGGCAACAAGTGATTTCATGAAGAGTAATTGTTCTTAGGCATGGACAGAGACCACTAAAATAAAGTTGCAACAGATCCCATCTCTATTTTTAGGCACCCAATGGCACTGTGAATCTGAAGAACCAGCACTCAGCAGTCTCCTCGACAGAAGGGTCTTGAGTACCCAGTAGTTCTAAAACTTGGTCATGATTTGTGTTGTAACACTCGGTTCTGATAGGAGTTTGGTGTCTAAAATTTAAATCAAATCTCAGTCTCTGACTCCCAGGTTGTTCCTGCAGTTCTGTGTCGCTCACCCCTGGGTGACCAAACTGACTGACTGAGTCTGGGTGACGTTTGACAGAGCACATGGAGGGCGTGGGAGCGACAAATGTCACCGAAACACAGCACAGCCAGCAATGGCCTCGTCTCAAAGGACACTTGTCCGGGTGAGCCTGACCCTCCCTGCCAGCACAGCCCATCACCCCATGCTCTCACATCCTCCTCCAGCCCCTCTGGTCCCCATGAGCTGAGAGCAACACCGGTTACAGCCTCAAATTCATGTTATTATTCAATTTTTAAGCTACCCTGCAGCTGCCAAACATGCCTTTGAAGTTGGGACAGCTGATTGTGCCTCTGAAAAATCATTTTGAAACAGCAGAGGAGGAGCCTTCCTGCAGGCTGTAGCATCATAACTATCAAAATATTTGGCTGAGCATTATGAAACACACAAAGAATGTCTTGTTACCAGGATATAAAGGTTTCCATTGATATGTTCTGCCATTATACACATGGGAGTTAAATGATGAGCACTGCTCCTCTCGGAAGCTCCTTCCGTTCGCAGGGCACTCCTAGAATAGGATACATTAACATCCTGATGGAAACAAAGTGCGGGAAAAGTTTCTGGCACATCACGACCAGCTGCAAGGAGTGTTTCCACCACCTTCCCCATCCAGGGCTATATCCTCCTCCTCCTCCTCCTTCTCCTCCCCCCACTGCAGGAACAGCCAGGGGGAGCCCCCTGGTAAATGGTGCAATTATCACTCATGCTGGGGTTTTATGGCCCCCAGCAAAGGTAAAAGGCCCAAAGTCCTGACATAATAGTGATGGGCATTAAAGAAGGGGACTCCCAGTTGCTTGGAGGGGCAGCAGGGTGACAGCTACAGGGCAAATAGTGTTGCCTCTCCGAGGGACCCAGAAATGCCATACATGACTTCCCACACTGATTGTTCCCAACAAGACAAAAGATATCCTTACTTGTACTTTGCAGAGCTGGTATCTTTTGGATGTCCCAGTGCAAGTTTTATTAGCCAGCCCACTCACCGATTTTCTTCTGAATAAGGAGATGATGGTTAGACAAGGATCAAAAATAATTTTCCCTTTTTTAGATATATTTGTCCCTTGTCTCTGTAAGGTCAGTCTCCATGTAGTAGAGAGATCTAACATAATCTCCCTGGAGTGGGTAGCAAAGGTCTCTCTGGCTTTGTTACCTGCAGCATCAACTATTCCAGCAGGTATCATGGAGATGAGGGCTGGGGACAAAGTTTACAAAGTGCTTTTTGGCGACCACACAGCCTGGAGAGGGTAGAGCCAGGCACAGAGCACCTGGGATCAGCAGGTCCCCAACCAACCCTGCACCACGGGGGTCCTCACTGCTGTGCCCAGAAGCCTTGGGAATGGGCTTACAGTGTGTCTGCTGCCCTGCTGCACTAATCCCTGCTGGAGACACTGCAGGGCCAGCACAGGAGTAGCTTGGCTGGTGGCCCTGGCAGGGATGCCCAGAGCACAGCACCCTCAGGGACGCACCTTCTGCCCAAACAGGGTTCAGACACTTTTCTATCAATCCTTATTCACTGAGCAACAACATTTTGGATCAAGTTTACCTCCAGCAAGCTGGAGTCTCCTCCCCCCTCCCCCCCCCACCAAGTGAGTGCCGTACCTCTGCCGCAGGCAGTGCCTCTCCTGGGATTTGACACCTCCCCCACAGGTCCTGGTACACGCTGTCCACTTGGTCCACTCGCCCCACCAGTACGCCGTGACGTCTGCCCCCTCCTCCAGGCTGTTGGAGGTCTGTGTCAGGTCCTGCTTGGAGCAGGTGGGGCAAGAGAAGCAGCAGTCAGTGTCCACACCCCGGAGCCTGGGTGAGGGGACTGAGGGCATCCCCCTCCCAGCCTGCCCTGTGAGATCAGAGCATTGCCTTCTCCAGCTGAGGTCAGCTCTGAGGTTTCCATCCTGCAAGAAGTCTTGCATTTTTCCAATTGTGTTTTCATTACAAATTGGAATGAAAAGGCAATATTTGGGATTCCTCAGGAAAGGAAATGCTCATTGTTTCTCTCAGTTGGCAAAACCAAGCTCCCAAATAACCCCAAACGCTCCAAGACTTTTGGTGCTCTCTGACTCTTGTTCCACAGAGAATTCAGGGAGCTGAAAAACCAGTTGCAGCCAAAAGCTTCACTGAAAGCTTCAGCAAACCCTTGCAAAACCCCTCTGCAGCAGGAGAGCATGCTAGTGGGTGCCACCGGGTGCCAGCAGGCTGGAGGAGCCTGTGTGCTCTCTTTGCAAGCACAGGTTTGGCACATCAGGAGGGTCCCTGACACCCCCACGTCCCACCTCCTGGTGCAGCCATGCAGAGGCCAAATGAGATGCATCCACATCCCTTACCAAGGGGCATAGAGCCTGCTGGGGGATCCCAGCTATTGCTCATTGCAGTGGGAGGGACTTAATTTTCCCCCCAGAATCACCTGCTGGTTAGGGGAGTGCTATAATTTCTGTGCTTACTGAAAAAGGGATAAAATTATTCCATGCAAAGTAAATCAAAGCTCCAGCCACTGCAGGGACCGAGGAGTGATGCCCTAGAGCAGGGCTCAGCCTTTCAGAGTCCTTGAAATGACCTGTGAATACTGTTAGCCATGAAAGTACAACCTTATTATTGTCCCCTAAAAGGTACAACTTACAAGCCCAAACTAAAGAGCTAAGCCAAGTCAGAGAGCTCCACACTTTCTGGAGACCTGATGCATGCACAGAGCAGTCCTGCAAAAGCCCCAGGGTTTGCTCTTTCAGACACTGCAGCATTTTAAAGCCCAGGGACCCCCTGGAGGGTGATGTTCTTACCTGAGCTATCACAAAGAAAACGTTGCCCACAAGAAGAAGGGCCAGGGTGCCTTTCAGCTGCGATCGGGCACTGATGGAGATGCTGCTCCACCTCCACTTAGGTACCTTCATCCTAGAAAGCAACCAGACACTGCACTAAGCAAAAATCCCACCCAGCCCCACCACCAGCAGCAGGGGCTGCTTTGCTGCCTGGGTTACACAGCACATGTGTTCTCCAGCATTTCCGGTCAGCCAAGTGACACCAGACTCCAGTGACTGCAAGGGCTTGAGCCTAAAATTATATTTAATTAGTGGAAGCATTAACACAGTACAGGTTCACTTCCCAGCTCGGTTGTTCTCTGTCAAACCACAGCTTTGCACGGGTTTCCAGTGGCTGCACCTGACACCACTCCCAGCCTGTCTTGAAAGAGAGCACAACTTACACCAAAGCAAGTGTTGCACAGCAAGTAACTAGAAGTGTCCCTGGATCCATAAAAGCAGTGCATTTAAATATCCTCATTTACAGAACTGGTCCTGGAAGAATGAGATGAAAGGCTTCATAAACAAAAAAGTGCAATTAACAGCCATTATTTCTCCTTTTTTTTCATTTGTTCCACTCCAATTCCCATCGATTCCCAGGGAAGGAGCCTGTTCTTATAGAAAAGAAACGCCCCACAATTAAAGAGCAGAAATGAAGTATCCCAAGTGTCAGCCTTTCATCTCTTTCTCCATCTGCCTCATGAAAGAGAGTAACCCAGAATGGCATTTTCTTAAATAAAACCCAGCTCAAAACCACAATACGTTTTATTGTGAACCTCGCTGCAAGAGCCAGAAAGGAGCAGGTTTCAGGAAATCGTGCTTCCAGGCAATCAAAGCAGCTCACGTCTGTAAGAAAAGGAAAGAAAAAATATCCTCCCCTGAGCTAATTTCCCTTGAAAAGCAGCTAGACAGTATCTTTGGGAAGCAGGGGGGTGGGAGAGGTGCTGCTCCTAAGGAGAGGGGGCAGGACTGCAGACCTGCAACATAAAGAGCTTCTTTCCTACCGCTTCTTTTTTTTTTTTTCTTTTCCTCCTTGCAAAGGTTTTTGTAGCGGTTTTGGAAATGCAGAATTGCCGGTAATACCAGCACTGCTTTGGTATCTGGCTTAGAAAAATTACCAGAGGGTTTCCAGGTCCCTAAATCCGCTCTGCGAGCGCCCTAGAGGAGAGGTCCAGCATGCAAAAGAGACTTTCCAAGAGGCAGATCCATTGATTAATGGGAGCCCAGAGCGCTTGGCCGGGGATCTCGGGGACAGGTGGCTGAGACTTGCCTTACACTTGGTTCTCATTAAGGCTCCCAGACACTCCTGACTCGAAGCCAATACCAGAGCGCGCTCGGAGTTTATCCTACAGGCGATCGGGGCTGCGTGGTTAAATAGAGGAAAAATTAAGGAAAGCGGGGAGGGATGTGGCCGAGTAGCATCGCGGAGCCCGCCCCGGGGGAGCGCCGGAGGCAGGAGGGCGATGCGGGGGCGATGATGCAGAGCCGGGATGCGGGGCTCGACTTCTGCGGGGCGGGCAGCGGGGAAGGGTCCGGAGGAGCCGGGATGGGACGGGACAGGACGGGACGGGCCGTACCTGGCGGCGGCGGGGCCGGGCGGGACGATGCTCCGGGGCCGGGCGGGAGCGGCGGCGGCGCGGAGCGGAGCAGCGGCGGCCCCAGACGCTCTCTCCCTCCTTCTCCCTCTCCCGACTTCAAAGGGCAGCCAAAAGCGCCGGGGCTTCCAGCGAGGAGGAGCCGCCGCAGTGGCTCCCCCCAGCCCGCGCCGGCCGCTCTTATAGCGGCGACGGGGGGGGAGAGTGGGGGGGATAGGGGGGAGAGCGGGCGGAATTCACACCTCTCGGCCCGGGATGCCCCCACCCCGGTTAACCCCTCGCCTCCCCCGGCGCCGGCCCGCGGCCGCCAGCCGGTTTCCTGCGGCGAGACCGGGGGGGCACAGGCGGGGGGAGCCCGCAGCGCACGCATGCGTTCCCTCCGGTCCACGCAGCGCTGGTCCCCCCCCCGGGCACCTCCCGGGAGGATGCTGGGCTCCCCCACTTCGCGGGGCACCCACCGGGAGGATGCTGCACTCCCCCTCCTCGTGGACCCTCGCGAGGATGCTCTGCTCCCCCCGCTTCCCGGCCATCTCCCGGGAGGATGCTGCTCTCCCCTCCTCGGGTGAGGGAACGCTACCTGCTGCCCCCACCCCTACACCCAGCCCCGCATCGCCGGCCGGAACACTGCCGGTACCCTGGTGGGCAGCGCGAGGTCGCATCCTGCCTCTGGAAGGGCAGAGGGGAGGGGTGGTTGGATACGGACTGCCAGGCTTTTAATTTCACTTTCCGCTGAAAAATAAACCAAATCTTCGAGGTTCTGGGATTTTGAGGGTTGTTTGCTGAGGTCCGGTGTCAGTCGTGTTGCTTGCAACAGTTTTCTGCCGCGCAGAAAATGGGGTCAGAAAATTGGCTGGGGGCACGTGAAGAGCCGTTTTGGATGAGGACAGACCCCCTGGCTCAGTGACAGCCGTGCACGGGTTGTATCTGATCTGTGTGTGTGTGAGAGAGAGAAAAGCCTGTGGGTAAAGAAGGCCACAGTTACACAGCGTATACAACCTATATATGATATATCTGGTCTGTTCTCTGCAGTCAGTACGTGTAAAACGTGGTGAGACACCTCACCTACGTGGCAACACACATTCCCATGCATTCCTCAGCAAGTCCCCCCTGCACGGGCACTGGTGACATCCCATCAGCTCTGAGCAACCCACCTGAACAATCCCTTCACCCCACCAGAGATTCTTCAGCTCAAGCCTTTCCTCCTTCCCCTCTAGACTTGCCCTGCACAGGGTTAAACCAGTGCTTCCAGTGCACCCAAGGCCATCACTGGAGGTTATGGCACTGGCTGCTCTTGGACCTTGGTGGCCACGTTCAGCCCTGTCACCATTTGCCACAGGCCAGGAGTGTCCATCTGCAGTGCCTCAGGGTGAGTGCAACCCCACCACGGGGCACAGATCCCCACACAGCTCCCAACACTCTGCAGGGAATCACTGCAGGTCCACGGTGTTGTTAATTTGGACTCAGTCCTCCCAGGGATGTCTGTGTGACAGAGAATCCGTCCCAAAAAATTTACATGGGAAATGAAGTCTCCTTTTCTGTTTGGCTAAATGTCTGCCAGCCTGTTCTAATTTACCCAGCCAGGTTGATTTGCAACTTGCAATTTTCCATCGGTTGGCTGTGAC